TATATATATATAATATTCTGTAACTCTGTAACTTCTGTCGGTGCTGTGCTTTTTTGGAAATCGAATTTCCCAGAGGAACCCACCCGAGGGATTAATAAAGTTCTATCTAATCTAATCTAATCTAAAATGGTTGTTTTAACTTCCTAGGACTTGGCATCCACATATGTGGACATGACATTTTGGGTTGTCTAGACCACAATACACAATTTTGCTCTACAAGGGCCTGATACCACTTACGAGGCCATACTGCCAAAACGAATGTCCTTGTATGTGACTATCAGGCTCTTGTAGAGCAAAATCAGGTAAAAAGATATTTCTTTGTTTTTACATTCATCAGTTTTTACATCCAATCAGCCCAAATAATAAAGAGAAATTAAAAATGCATGCCATGAAAGAGCTCGGGTCTTAGGAGGTTAAGGTAAGAGTTAGGCAAGCAGTAAGGTTATGATTACAAGAAGTCCCCAGAAAATTAATTAGAGCCATTGTGCATGTTACCTGTCTAGGGTGACTGGGAATGCAAGGCTGGTTGTAAATATATTTGAGGGGCTCCAGCATCCCTGATCCTCCCAAATCAGCCTCCATGTGATCAACATTCTTCAGCGCCTCCTGCATGGTCTCTTGGCTATACTCCACACTCTTACTGCCCTCACATAAATATCAGTACACAATTACATGCACTTCATACCAAAAACAGAAAGTCTTTTGTTGGGCTGACTGATACGAGGGAGAGACTCACAGGAAGATGTGTTCATAACTGGACCCAAAACTGTAAATGTTGAAATAGCAGCCCATTGGTAAGTTCTTTAACAGAAGCAGCAGAGCGGAGAGGGACACTATTAAAGATGTTATGACTGTAATAACGTATTAAGGATACCCTGGCAGAGCTCATATGAGTTTCCTCCTGCTCACTCTTACTGATAGCCCATACTTCCAGATCGATCCATTAAGAACACAAACTCTCCACAAGACGTCCCTGAAGACATCACAGACTGGGGGAACTCAGGGTACAAACTCACCATCACCACTGGATCACCCATCAGAGTGCCTGAAAAATGAAAGGGACAGAAAAATGACGCAAAGCAGTTTTTACTGTTTATTCCAACAAATTGCAGCAAACAACTTCACTCATTTTCACTCACCCGGCTCAGCAGAGGCCTGTCCTGCCTCCACCACAGCAGTGGGCTGGTGAGCATCTTTGTAATAAATCAGCAGTTCAACATCTCTGTCAAACTTGTGTCCTGCAGCCAGTTTGACCAGCACGGTGGCACGGTGGTTAGCACTGTTGCC